CTTTACTTTTACCATCCATTTATTGGGATCAAAACCCCGGATTAATAGAGAAATACAAGTATTGAACTTTATACTTCCCCAGAAAAACGGGTTATTTATATTTTGTCACTGACATTATCATTGTGACCGACTTTATCCTCCATCTGTAGTGCTTCGCAGTTTATGAACTGAAGTTTTTTCTATTTTTTTCAAACCGAAAAAAATCACATTTAAGAATTTAATAATTTTTAATAACTTTATCTCCACTTTTTGGATTAATTAATTCAAACACAATTATTAAAAAACAAAATCATAAATTGTAAAACTGAATCAAGTTCGATAAAAAATAAATAAAAAAACCCAAAACTTTGAATTTTTTTGTTTTTGTCAAAAAATCCAAATTATGATCAAAAATGCATTTTTTTGTCAAATTTTGAAAAATGGTTTTTAAAGTAAACTGTGAAAAAAACAAATATATTTAATCAAAAGTAAATGGTGTTTTCAATTGTTTACACAACAAAGTTATCAACACGTTAAAACGTTTAAATTAATAACGAACATACATAATTGTTAATATATATAATAGTTAAATATTATTTCAAGTTGTATGATGACTTTTAATAACATTGTTATTCTCAAATATTGATTGAAACTAATGTGTTATTGATGTGACATTTTGTTAAAGCGAAGGAATGTCAAATATTATCAATTGTTACTTATTTCATTGTTTGACTACGTTAATGTTCATAATGATCATTTAATCACTTATTGTTGATAATTACACGTTAATGAGATATTATATACAATTAAATTTTTTTATTAATAATACAACATACAACAGTAAACACATGTATTTTAACAACATCACAACATTTATGAATAATTAAAATAAAAAGGCGTATTTATTATTTAAAAACAATAATTTATAAATAATTGTTTTTTGCTAATCTTTTGTTTTAAAAAACAACCTAAAAAAGTAATAACTATCAACTATGTAAACATGTGAAATCAAATTCATTCTTTAAATGATAACACTAGAATAAAAAATATCACATTTTAGAGCATTTTTATTTTTTGACTTAGAGCTCACAAATACATGCACATGAGATATTAAGATCTTTTGTTCCGTAGTCTAAGTTTTAATAGTTATTTATTTTTAATTGAATCAAAAAAACAAAAATTGTTAATTTTTTTCATTGAGTTATGAAACCTGAGTATGTATATACATATGATATAGTTTGTTAATTCAAATTTTTATGTTGAACTAATTATATTTTGTGGGTAGGTCATATATTTGTATGATCATCATAATAACGAGAATCATATAATTTTAAACAAATTTTATTCGATATAATGTTGATATTATATACTCAAATTGAAAACAACAACTCAAATATAAATGAATAATTACAATTAACGATTGATTAGTTTTTACTCCTTAAGTTCAGATCATAAAAATTAAATATTTTGCCAAATTCATAAAGAAAAACCGGTTATTACAAATGTATTGAACTTGGTGAGAATCTTTGTTTTGTTAGAAACAAAGAGTATTAAAACATAATATTCAAAAATTAATATTAAATAAATGTCGACATATATATAAAGTTATATAGAATAAAGAATAATATGTTTTCAATTTATTTGTTTTTGTATCATGTCATGTTTAACTTTTAATTTAAAGTTTTAAATGTAATATGCAATAAATTGTATAAATTATAATGTGATGGTAATTGTATATATTGATTGTAAATTGTTTGCCTGAACAACCTTTTTATGTTTTTTATGAATCAATTAAACTTAAGGTTATGATGTAAAATATACAAGTTGTGAATAAATTTACAGTTTATATTTATGGTTTATCTAATACCTTTTAGATTATAATAATATTTCGAGAAGTTGTACAAAAAAATATATCCCAATTGTTTATTTTTTGCGTTTTACTTAGTGTGATGTTTATATAAAATTATTGCTAGTTATTTGTCCCCCAGATAACATTATAAGACTGCCTTTATATTCAAACTTTAGATGATTTGTTAATCATAAAAAATACCAATTATTTGTTTTGGATAATACAAACATTTTTGTTTATTAATTTAATATTTTTTGTTAAACTACTTTTTGGTTCAAAATTTTTAGTTCTTTCATTTTTAATAATGTTGTATACACGTTTTCAGTTAATCATATAATAGACAATGTTGATGTAATAAGTTTCAAAAGTGCGATTTCTGTAAATCTATCTTATACGGCTCCCATTTATTTTTTCCTAATCTTTGTCTTATATAAAAAGAAAAAAAGCAATTTGATAAAACCCTTTTCACGTTATTTTCAATAATAATTACGTCTTTTTTCAGGAAAAAAACAGTTAAAATTCAGTTAAATAACTGCGAAGCATTATCTGGGATCTGTATTCTATTAATATGTTTTTTTTACAAACTATAAATAACACTGTTAATTGTCTTATTAAATTTTTTATATTTATATTGCTTAACAATTTACTCAAAATATTTATTAACAAATAGATAATAAACAAAACAATACAATGAAATGAAATGATTGTATTATTATTATATTTTTTTCAATTTATTAAATAATATTATTGAACCACCTGATTGATAAAAGTCATAAGCAATTATTTTATATAAACATAGTATACAACTATATCTAGATAACGTTTTCAATAAACTAATTGTTAACAACGAAAAAAAATAGAATGATAATATAAAAATCATTTGTGTTTTTTGTTTAAATTAATATCATTTAAATCGATTAAATTACAATTACCAATTTCAGTATGAAACACATATATTACGTTTGCATAGATATTAGCAACTCCAACATTCGTGCGTCTTACTTTAATAAAAACAAGGAAGAACCTGAATCATTAACATTTGAATATGGTTATTTATATATACCATCAACTGTTGATTTGACATATGGGAAGTGTTTTGTTGGTTCAAAGGAAAACAAATCTATTACAAACATTATTAATCTGTTGTCCATGAGGTATACCGACTTTTTACAGAGTCAACTCAAAAATACAACGAAACATGTCTATCCCGACACAAATGGATTATGTGAGTATCATGTAATGTCAAATGGGACTGAAGTATCAATAAGTCCTATTTAATCACTTTGCATACTCTTTCGCTATGTTCATCTCAGATTTGTTGATATACTTGAAACAAGTACTTCAGATATAATTGTTATCAAAGCTGTTGTGACCTGTCAAAACCACATTCTTGAAGAAAATAGAGAAAATCTCGAATATGCTGCACATTGCACCGGGTTTGATGTTCTTACTGTGTTAAGTCATCCGAAAGCATCGGTGTGGACTGAAAATTATATGTTTCGTGCAGAGGGTAATTATCTCTTTATTGATTTAGATACGAATTTGGAGCTGTCTGTTGGTAAAAAAGATGGTAAAAATTTACAAATGATTCACTTTCGAAATTATGAAGATATCACTGAAGATTTCTTGAATGAAAAACTTTTTGAAATAATTATAAAAGAATTGGAAGAAAGATAAGAAAAAGTGAAAGAGTTGTTTATAATGACTGAAAATGATGATGAACGTGTAAAAACGATTAAAAGAAGGAATATTTATATATTAAAAAATGAAATAAAACGTTCAATTGATTCATTTTCGAAACAAAATGAAGTCCAAATCAAATTTGAACAATATGATGGTGATTTAGAATTTGTATTGAAAGAAGAAACAATTCTCCAAATTGTTAACGATATCATTAATAATAAAATTTTTGAATTTTTGAAAGAAAAGCAAATAAGTCACCGAAGTATCCAAAATGTCGTGTTGATTGGGCAAATGTGTGAATTTGGATTGTTAATAAAATATCTTATGTCAATATTTCCAGAAGCAAACTACTTTGATAATGTTTATCCATCTGTTATTGCTGCTTTTGGAGGGTGCACTTTCGGATTTAGTCGAGGCTGCAGTATGATTGATATACATGAAACTGAGTTTGTCCAAAAAGACATCACCATGTTGACAATGAAAGACAACAAAGTCGATTACAAAATTGTTGTCGCGAAAGGAAGACCAATTCCAGTCGAAGATGTGTTCATTGAGCTCACTGTTATGACTGATATTGTTGATGTTGTGTTGTACGAAGAACGTACACCTCTCGGTGTTTATCGAGTGCAGAGCAAAATGACAGTTGGGCAAAAAATCAAAATCAATATATCCATAAACTATCTTGAAGAAATCAAACTTGTTTTAGTGAACACTGAAGGAGGCGAGGAACTTGTGAAAATAAACAAAGAGATTCAGAAAAAACCTAAAGAGAAAATAAAAGAAATTGTTAAGATAAGAAAAATGTTCAACAAGTTTTTTTAAAATTGATATTTAATTTGGTTTGATTTTATTAATAAACAATTGATTCAAATGTGTTTTAATATTTTGTTTTTAAATAGGAAAACTTTTTTACAACCACACTTAATAATAAATTTTATTTACTATTTGATATAACATGCAAATTAAATTTATAATAAAAAGAAATATAAGTAAATATTTGGTCTGGTTCCCGAATTCAAGAAATGCCAAAAAAGCACCTCGAATTGGTAAATACCGAGTGAGACGGAGCATTGAAAAGAAAACTCGGGCGGTCACACAACAACAATCTGTTTGTGTATTGTTTTACCTACTTCCCAAGTTTTTTTTTGTTAGGCGGAATCACATCTGAGTCCACATAGTACAAACAAGGAAAGTGAGTGACATTGAAAGCACAAACAATGGCTAAAACGTGAATTTTATTCAAACAACAACAGCAGCAAATACTTATTTTTGATTAATATGGTGGAAAAAACTGGTTAAATACAATAAAAATAAATATTTGATTACAAATATTTTTCTATTTTTTTATTGGGGGTTTAAATTAATGTTTTTGAAATAATACAAAAAAATAATTTGTAACAATAAATATTATTTTTACTATAATTTGAAATAAGTTGTACTTTTCTAATCACTTTATCAAGAAGTTAACAAAAATTTATAAGTTTAATTCAATTAAGTATATTAAGGGGATTTAGCACAATGGTAGTGTATTACTTTTCAATAAAATTATCAGGTTTGGTAAAGACTGTAGGTTCGATTCCTATAATCACCATTTTTGACAACACAAAAATAAAAAACAATTAAAATTAAAATTATTATTTCATTTTATATGTTATTAAACAATTATATCTACAAATAAAATTAATTTCAAAACACAAACAACTTTGATATCTAATATATTTAGATATGTATAAAACAATTAAATCCAGTATATCAAAATTAACTACCCAAATATTATTCATTTTTTTTTCTTTTGTATTGTTATGGTCTTTGTTTGATTTATTAAACTCGGTCAAAAACGTCTATTTGTCTTGAATCCAGCAGAAAAAAAACTTATCT